TGAATTGAACTAACAATGCTAACATAAACATCACCAATCTGTTTGTTTGATTTCTAACCTTTTTGTGCACCAATTCCTTAAGAGATTGTTGAGCTAGACTGAAGTCCAAGTTGTTTTAGCATCTATTTCGATTGTTGTGGGTTAAATGGTTGCTAAGTTTTGTTGTGAAGCCACATTGTGAAAGGGATGCTCAAACACTGTTTATAGCTACACCCCTTTATGAGTTCTACTTAGGAAAACTTACCAGAGTAACAAATTCTCTTATGGATTCTCCCCAAAAAGTGTATAAAGATAACAGCTATTTCATCAATGGAGAATCACTCCTTATTATAGCATTCCACCACCTTTGATCTAAAGTATTTTTGAATCTTTGTTGTTTATCACAATCAGTAGTCAAACGTAAAATCGTATACTTTAAAACTTGAAGTTACATTTTTAATGAAGTACATTTTTATTCAGTTTTGTTAAATGAAGGAAATGTTTTAAGAAAGATTTTAAACATTTTAATTTAGGCTCTGTCCTCTTCATTTTCCTACTTTACTATATTAAAAAACTTTATGAGATGCATCAGTAATAATCAGTCTAAGGTCCAGATGTCATCTGGGTGTGCCACCACCATAATGACATCTGGCCCTTTCATGCCTTCTGTTGATCCAGTCCTTGGTACTTTTTCCCATGACATCAGAACTTTCTCCATCCTGGTTCATCCTTGAGATACGAGTATTCACTGGGAATGCTGCATCATCTTCATTCTATGGTGCCAACTGGTGGCATCTACCACAGGATACCTTCATTCTGACACCTGCTTGGATCGCTAAGGTGTCAACTACCTGTTTGCTTTGCTGACAGGACCGTTGTTTCGCTTTGCTTTGGATCGAGTGTTTCCACTCTGGATCTATTGCTCTGCCTACTGGATTGTTGTTTTTACCTCAGTGCTACTAAGGATGGCACATGACTGACTGGTTGGAACTTCTTCAAAGACTAAGCATTCTCTTTGGAATATGCTCAGTCAGGTCATCTGGACAGTTTCTTTTTTGTAAAAAGACTTTTCGCCCTCTATCCGGAGGGCTTCATCATTCTGAGGAGTCCCAAGTAAACTGAGAAACTGTCCAGATGACCTGACTGAGCATTATTGGATTTGGTACCTGGATGATTGAGTATGAACTTTGATGTATTTGGAATATAATTCCTGTTTTCTTCATTGACCTAGGAGGGTGTCATCGGACATCTCTTAACTTTGTTCTTCAAAACTTAGTCCACAGTGATTACCAAGGTGCCAAGGCCAGCCCCATCGAAGTTTCTTCTGATAGATCATAGATTTGGCTTGTAGTGACTCAATGGCCATCTGGACTGGCATCAACTCTCTAGTTGGGGACTATGTAGCATGAAGTTGAACTCTTGTAACTATGACCCCTGATAGGGTCATTTTCCAGACTCACCATGAATTGTGTTCTTTAAAGTTGCATTTGCCCTAAATAATGTGTGGTGTTTTTCTAACGTTTACTGTCCTTGGACGCAGAGTCAACTGCAGTCTGACTAATGTTTACCTTTTTTTTCCTATGTTCCTAAGAAATAATAAACAAATCATTAATAAAGTTTGTTTTATGTGGTTAACAAATGTGAACATAAATAATTTTGATTATTGTTTCCAATCATAATGAAATTGTGTGAAATTGTATAATGTGTTTAACATATTTCCTTCTCCAGTTTTTCAGAAGGTAGTTTTTCCTTGAAGAGACACCTGTTGAAAGCTCTTTGAGCTGGAGCTGTTTGCTTCAGAGGGAGGTCGTAATGTTCCTGAGTAGTCAAAACATCTTCTGAGAGCTGTTGTTTTTACACAAAGTTTCTTTGTGTGACAAAACAGTTCGTCTTCGGCTCAGAACCGGAGAGAATTCGTCTTGGACTCCTGAACCTGACTGGTTTGACTTTGGACCCTGATCCTGATGTAGTCTGATGTCCACTCCTCATTTATTCTTGAGCAGCCAAACACACTGCCCGGCCAAAAAAAAAAGTCACCACCTGGATTTAAGTAAGCAAATAGGTACGAGCCTCCTGTTAGATAATTACTGCATGGGTGATTATTTTTCAGCAGCAACAAGTTCCCAACTGGTGCAATGAGTTGCTTCTCATTTCTTAAACAACCATGTGGAAAGACTCATGGCGTGGTCGTGGAAAAGATGTCAGTCTGTTTGAGAAGGGTCAAATCATTGGCATGCATCAAGCAGAGAAAACTTCTAAGGAGATTGTAGAAACTACTAAAATTGGGTTAAGAACTGTCCAACACATTAATAAAAACTGGAAGGATAGTGGGGACCCATCGTCTTCCAGGAAGAAATGTGGCCAGAAAAAAATCCTGAATGATCGTGATCATTGATCACTTAAACATTTGGTGAAATCAAATGGAAGAAAAACACCAGCAGCACTCAGGGCTATGTTTAATTGTGAAAGTAAGAACATTTCCACACACACAATGTGAAGGAACTCAAGGGACTGGGACTGAACAGCTGTGTAGCCTTAAGAAAACCACTAACCAGTGAGGCTAACTGGGAAAAAAAAGGCTTCAATTTGCTAGGGAGCATAAAGATTGGACTCTGGAGCAATGAAAGAAGGTCATGTGGTCTGATGAGTCCAGATTGACCCTATTCCAGAGTGATGGGCGCATCAGGGTAAGAAGAGAGGCAGGAGAAGTGATGCACCCATCATGACTAGTGCCTAGTCATCAATGTTTTATTTATTTTTTTCATTTAGCCTTTATTTATCCAGGTAGTCTCATTGAGCCACGAGAAATCATTTTCAAGAGAGACCTGTTTAGGGAGAAGATGTGGGTTAAGGGCCTTGCTCGTGGGCCCAGAGTGGGGCGAATGAGGGTGGGAGAAAGTGTGGGTACTTCACCTATCCCACCCACATTTTTGATGTTGTCGGTACCGGGGCGTGAACTGGCGATCTTCCGGTCACAGCCCACCTTCTCTAACCTCTGCGCCACCCCTCCCAATGCAAGATCTTGGTGAAAAATTAATGCAACACTGGATGGAAACAGATCTTGTGACATTGCAGAAGCTTTTCAAAACAATGCCAAAGCAAATGCATGCCGTAATCAAAGCTAAAGGCGGTCCAACAAAATATTAGTGTGTGACCTTTTTCTGGGGGGGGGGGGGGGGGGGGCGACCTTTTTTTTGCCAGGCAGTGTATGTTGCTTGATTACAGCTTGTTAATTTTTTTTAAAGTTAAATCACTACAGAAAATAAAAAATTTTCTCACTGCCAGGCTTACATTCTCGTCTTGAAGTCTAAGCCGGCTGAAGGTTGCGATGGGTGGCACACCTCCTCATCAGCTGTGGCCCTCACCAACCCCTGAAGTTGTCACAGTGACTTTCCACTACCTTGGGCAGTTCCTGGCAAGTCCTCCTTGTGGTATAACTAGGTGTTATCCACCAGCAGAACCCCAGAAAGACGAGTGATCTGGTGCCCTCCACACTGACCCAGGAAGGAGCACAAACCTGGTGACATGATGCCTTGGTCTGGTTATGCCATTTTAGGAGATGCAACTTGGTAAATCATTTCCTGGCTTTCAGTGATAATAAATAACTTATCTAATTACATTAAATAACTTATTTTAACCAAAATCCAAAGCAAACTATTTATTAAAATAGTCAAACTTTGTCTAAATTTGTGCGTGTATAAAAACCAAAATAATTCCTGCTCAAAAAGTTAATTTTGCTTTAGATAAGAGAATTAAGTCTTGATTGATTCATTATTATTGTTTGTTTATTATTGTTGTTGATTCTTAGTTTGATTATTTTTGTAATAAAATTTTAAAGACAGCTTTGGTCTCTTCATTCAGATGAATATTAATTTGTTATGGGACTCCCTTTAATTAACAAATTCTACTTCAGTGACTGAGTTCAACAAAGATGCTTTGTCTGTCTCCTCACCTCTCCCTTCTCCAAGGACATGGACATGTGACAGAACCTCAACCGAGCTTATGATGAACATCACCTCTTATCTGGACAATGGCTGGGGGGGGGGCTCTGGACTATGCTACAACTTTCCCTTAAAAATTAAATGTTTTCACCGCCTATATGTTCATGTATCACGTCTATTTATGTTGCTTTGCTGTGGTAGTTTTTTTTTTGATGGCTCAAATCGTGCCCTGTCTAGGACACGGTGTGAGAGATCTTTTTTTATACCGTCTCTCCTCATGTTTTCTTCCCTTTTCTCATCTAAGCAAAAACATTCTGAATAAGAAAAGGCCGCACTTTTTATAGTTGCAGCTTTGTGCACTCCGCCCACCTTTCGGACGACTGTACGTACATGTTCTCATTGTATCTCGGTGCAATGATAAAGTTTATTCTGATTCTGAGTTCTGATTATGAAAGGGTGAATGTATTACCGGTAGTTAAGTTAAGTTGTAGTTGGTCTGAACAGCTTGTGCCCCACTTTAACAAGTGCTAAATAAATAAAAACAAGTGGAGTGGAGAAAGTGTCACCCTTCTAACTCCATCTCACTTCGTAAATGCTACACTCAAATAAGCCACTCTGATGATGCAAGAAGATCTTTCAACCCAGTTTTACTCATTGCAACGGGGGGGCAGAGTTAACACACAGGCTTACACAGATGTTATATTAAAGCTCTGGTCATAAGGTCTGCCTATGGACAGTATAAATAAGTATTTTTTTTATAATGCTTATCAGACAGAGACAAGGTTAAGACAACCTGTGCTTTCCAGCTTAGAGGACTTGGAGTTTATCAGGTGTGCAGGCTCCGTGCTCCTGCAGGCTCCTCTCTGTTCAGACAAAACAACATTAATACATACATACATTAATTTAACATTAGTAAGTGATAACATCCATGACCTTTACCTAAATTCCCCTGACAGTTCGGGTTTATAAATGTTTGAGTTTAAAGTGAAACGGGTTTGGGATTAAATATGTTTGGGGAAAAAAAACAAGTGGCAATCAGATGATGATTAATCCAGCAGTCATTCTTGTGCTGATTTTCAGGGCTGTGCTTCCTGGAAGTGGTATTTCCCATTCCACTATGCTCCCTTTGCCTCTGACTTCAAAGACATCAAAGAGATGTTCTCAGAGTTTGAGAAAGACACTAAACCGGTAAGGAGGATTAGTTCTGGTTCTGATTGTTGTTGGCCATTGTGAAAATGGTTAAACTGTAGTTGGATATGTGTATACAGCACAATACAGACCTGACCTGTTTGTTTGGTGCAGTTTAAGCCTCTGGAGCAGCTGATGGGAGTGTTTCCTGCCGCCAGTGGTAACTTCCTGCCGAAAACATGGAGGAACCTTATGATCAGCCCGGTGAGTCGTAGTCACCGAACCAAACCTTCTCAGACCACAGAGTGAAGTGAAACAAACTGATGCAACATCGTTTGAATATATTTTCACTCTCTGTTGAACATTTGTTTGATTCAGGATTCTTCCATCATCGATTTTTACCCCGATGACTTTGCCATTGACCTAAACGGGAAGAAATACGCCTGGCAGGGTGAGCCTGCCTCTTCAGAAAACTGTTAAATTATCATTTGTCAGATAAAACATCAACTTTAGTTTTGTGCAGTTAAGCAGATCATCTGAATATATTAAACCTTTCATCTGGTTTAAAAATCTAGGTAAAGGGATTGTTGGCATACAAACCTGTTGTTTAGTTTGTATATTCATAAATAGACCCTTTGTTCTACTTTTGAAAGAACATAAAATGGATTACATTTGTAGTTATTTACTTATTCTCATGATGTCCGTGCTGAAAGAATAAAGGCAGCAAATACTGTGAGAACTTTCAGAATGTCTTAAAACCAAACTGCCATCCATCCATCCATCCATTTTCTTCCGCTTATCCGGGGTCGGGTCGCGGGGGTAGCAGCCTAAGTAGGGAGGCCCAGACTTCCCTCTCCCCAGCCACTTGGGCCAGCTCTTCCGGGGGGAATCCCAAGGCGTTCCCAGGCCAGCCGAGAAACGTAGTCCCTCCAGCGTGTCCTGGGTCTTCCCCTGGGCCTCCTTCCGGTGGGACGTGTCCGGAACACCTCACCAGGGAGGCGTCCAGAAGGCATCCTAAACAGATGCCTAAGCCACCTCAACTGGCTCCTCTCGATGTGGAGAAGCAGCGGCTCTACTCCGAGTCCCTCCCGGATGATCGAGCTTCTCACCCTGTCTCTAAGGGAGAGCTCAGACACCCTGCGGAGAAAACTCATTTCGGCCGCTTGTATCCGAGATCTCATTCTTTCGGTCACAACCCAAAGCTCGTGACCATAGATGAGGGTAGGAACGTAGATCGATCGGTAAATTGAGAGCTTCGCCTTTTGACTCAGCTCTCTCTTCACCACGACAGACCTGTACAGCGCCCGCTTCACTGCAGACGCTGCACCTATCCGCCTATCGATCTCACGCTCCATTTTTCCCTCATTCGTGAACAAGACCCCAAGATACTTGAACTCCTCCACTTGGGGTAGGACCTCCTCCCTGACCCAGAGAGGGCACTCTACCCTTTTCCGGCTCAAGACCATGGCCTCGGATTTGGAGGAACTGATCTTCATCCCGGCCGCATCGCATTCGGCTGTGAACCTCTCCAGTGAAAGCTGTAGATCACGATCTGATGAAGCCAATAAGACCACATCATCTGCAAAAAGCAGAGACGCAATTCTGAGGCCACCAAAACGGATCCCCTCAACACCTTGGCTGCGCCTAGAAATTCTGTCTATAAAAGTTATGAACAGAATCGGTGACAAAGGGCAACCTTGGCGGAGTCCAACTCTCACCGGGAACAAGCCCGACTTACTGCCGGCGATGCGGACCAGGCTCTGACACCGGTCATACAGGGACCTAACAGCCCGTATCAAAGGGCCTGGTACCCCATACTCCCAGAGTACCCCCCACAGGGCCCCCCGAGGGACGCGGTCGAAAGCCTTCTCCAAGTCCACAAAGCACATGTAGACTGGTTGGGCAAACTCCCACGCACCCTCCAGGACCCTGCTGAGAGTGTAGAGCTGGTCCAGTGTTCCACGGCCAGGACGAAAACCGCACTGTTCCTCCTGAATCCGAGGTTCGACTATCCGACGGACCCTCCTCTCCAGAATCCCCGAATAGACCTTACCAGGGAGGCTTAAGAGCGTGATTCCCCTGTAGTTGGAACACACTCTACGGTCCCCCTTTTTGAATAGGGGGACCACCACCCCGGTCTGCCAATCCAGGGGAACTTCCCCCGATGTCCACACAACATTGCAGAGTTGTGTAAGCCAACACAACCCTACAACATCCAGAGCCTTAAGGAACTCTGGGCGGATCTCATCCACCCCTGGGGCCCTGCCACCGAGGAGCTTTTTAACCACCTCGGTGACCTCAGCACCAGAGATTGGAGGGCCCGACCCAGAGTCCCCAGGCTCCGCTTCCTCAGTGGAAGACGTGCCGGTGGGATTGAGGAGGTCTTCAAAGTATTCCGCCCACCGACCCACAACATCCTGAGTTGAGGTCAGCAGCAAACCACTCCCACTATAAACAGTGTTGGTGGCATACCGCTTCCCCCCCCTGAGACGCTGGATGGTGGACCAGAAACGTCTCGAAGCCGTGCGGAAGTCGTTCTCCATGGCCTCTCCGAACTCCTCCCATGCCCGAGTTTTTGCCTCAGCAACCACCCGAGCCGCATGTCGCTTGGACTGCCGGTACCCATCAGCTGCTTCCGGGGTCCCACAGGCCAAAAAGGCCCGATAGGACTCCTTCTTCAGCCTGACAGCATCCCTCACCGACGGTGTCCACCATCGGGTTCGAGGGTTGCCGCCCCGACAGGCACCGACAACCTTGCGGCCGCAGCTCTGGTAAGCCGCCTCGACAATAGAGGCACGAAACATGGTCCACTCAGACTCAATGTCCCCCACCTCCCTTGGAACATGTTCAAAGTTCTCCCGGAGGTGGGAGTTGAAACTCCGTCTCACAGGAGACTCTGCCAGACGTTCCCAGCAAACCCTCACAATACGTTTGGGCCTACCAGGTCTGACCGGCATCCTCCCCCACCATCGGAGCCAACTCACCACCAGGTAGTGATCAGTTGACAGCTCCGCCCCTCTCTTCACCCGAGTGTCCAAGACATGTGGCCGCAGATCAGATGAGACGATGACAAAGTCGATCATCGAACTGCGGCCTAGGGTGTCCTGGTGCCAAGAGCACATATGGACACCCTTATGCTTGAACAAGGTGTTCGTTATTGACAATCCATGACGAGCACAGAAGTCCAACAACAGAACACCACTCTGGTTCAGATCAGGGGGGCCGTTCCTCCCAACCACACCCCTCCAGGTCTCACTGTCATTGCCCACATGAGCATTGAAGTCCCCCAGCAGAACAAGGGAGTCCCCAGAAGGTGCACTTTCCAGTACCCCCTCTAAGGACTCCAGAAAGGGTGGATAATCTGAACTGCCGTTTGGTGCATAAGCACAAACGACAGTCAGAACCCGTCCCCCCACACGTAGGCGGAGAGAGGCCACCCTCTCATTCACGGGGGTGAACCCCAATACACAGGCACCAAGTTGGGGGGCAATTAGTACGCCCACGCCTGCTCGGCGCCTCTCACCAGGGGCAACTCCAGAGTGGAAGAGTGTCTAGCCCCTCTCAAGGAAACTGGTTCCAGAGCCCGAGCCATGTGTAGAGGTGAGTCCGACTATTTCTAGCCGGAACCTCTCAGCCTCACACACCAGCTCAGGCTCCTTCCCCACCAGTGAGGTGACATTCCACGTCCCAATAGCCAGCTTCTGTAGCCGAGGATCAGACCGCCAGGGTCCCCGCCCTCGGCCACCACCCATCCCACATTGCACCCGACCCCTTTGGCCCCTCCCACAGGTGGTGAGCCCATAGGAAGGGGGACCCACGTCTCCTCTTCGGGCTGTGCCTGGCTGAGCTCCATGGGTAAAAGCCCGGCCACCAGGCGCTCGCCCACGTGCCCCACCTCCAGGCCTGGCTCCAGAGTGGGGCCCCGGTGACCCACGTCCGGGCAAGGGAACACTAGGTCCATTTGTGTTTTTCATCATAGGGGTGTGTTTGGGCTGCACTTTGTCTGGTCCCTCACCTAGGACCTGTCTGCCATGGGTGACCCTACTAGGGGCATAAAGCCCCTGACAGCATAGCTCCTAGGATCATTGGGACACTCAAACCCCTCCACCACGGTAAGGTGGCAGCCCAGGGAGGGGAAAAAAACCAAACTGCACTTTTCTAAAATTCCGAATGATATTCAGCAGCTTAAGAAAATATCCAGATTCCCTTCAAAAAGTATTCCAAACTCCCTTCAGAAGATAGTCCAAACTCCCTTCAGAAGGTAGTCCAGACTCCCTTCAGAAGGTAGACTTTTTTTTTTTTTCCAATTCAGTTTCTTTCTTAGTTCCAAGTCCCAACTTACGTCGTCTCAGGGCACTGAACAAGAACATTCACATACATCATAGAAGCCAATTAGTAAAAGTTCTCTATGTAAGGAAGCAGAAAATACATAGTTCACATGTGACGTAACATCAGGGGCATTTCCGGTTCGTCCTCTATGTTGTAAGGCTGCCTCTAGCAGCAGGTACAGATACATTCATTCAACCTTTATTTAGACAGGTAAATCCCACTGAGCCTCCAGGACTCATTTGGTATGGTATGGTATGGTATAAAGTTTATTCATTTTAAAACAACAAAACAAAACAATTCCATAAACTTTAAAAAAAATACAAGAAATTTAAAATGAAAGGCAGCAGAAAGAAGAAAAAATCTCATATCTGCCCCTTTTTTCAAACAATTTGTTCAATGATTATAATCTTCAAGTAACAGAACAAAATGAATAACTCTATTTTTTGTAACTCTAATGCAATACACACTAAGCTACTTCATTTTTATTTTATTTTTTTAACAATTCAACTTTGATCTTTTTCTTAAATGTACACATTGACTTGGCATTTTTAACATCACTCTCTAGACCATTCCACAATCCAATTCCTTGGATTGAGGTAGACCTTCCCTTCAGACTAGTTCTGAATTTTGGTTTGACAAATATCTCTATCCCCTTAAGTTTATAACAACTTTGCCTCTTAATATCCTGATACATGCTCCATAATCCAGGTAGAAAAATCCCCCAAAAAGTTCAATCTGGTCCTCTGGACATTCAAAAAACAAGAAAAAAAAAAAGTAGAAACGTTTCGTCTCTCATCCGAGAGACTTCGTCAGTCTGAGGTGCTGTATTCAGCTCAGTCTCTTAAATAGCACCTTCTCAGAGTGGATCAACCAGTTTGCTGCTGACAACCAAAACCAGCTGATCACATGATCAAGAAGGACCATCAGCCTAACAATGGATCATTAGCACCTGATGGCTGTTTACTGTTCACAGAGGGCTGAGTGATACTAGCAATCACAGCATTGTAAGAGGGGGACAGTTGAACCTAGAGGCTCCGCCCCTGTTTAATGATGGACGATTTCTTTTCACAAAGATGGCCTCCTTTACTCCTCTCTCAAGCCATCGTTCCTCTCTGTCCAGGA